TGATATTTGGATTCAACAAGTCTGGCAGCAATCAGGTTTACCTGTGGCTAGTAGAATTAAACTTGACTTTTTTAAGGTTTTCTCCTAATTAGTAAAAGTAGTCATTTGAAAACTGCTTTTTTCATGGCACTGGGATAGTAATTCATGGTTCTGGAATTTTATTTGGTGGTAATTAATTGATTGAATGTATATTTTGTGTGCTTTAGACATTTAAGTATAAAAAAGTAAAAACTGAAAAAAACTGTAAGGAGGCACAGAAAATACATAAAAGTGTTTAACAAATCTGGAAAAAATTAACTTAAACTTGGATAAATATATCTAGCCTAACTAGCCCTCGGAGACTGAAACTGAGTTTGTGCATCGGTTTTGTTTTCTGCTTCAGCTGTGTTTATGAAAAACGGCAGGATTATTGGACACAAAAGCGTAGATGTGAGGTAAGGCTTAGTGAGAAACTATGGCTTTGAACACTAGCATAAGGACAGTCACATGCTATCTCCAGTCAGGGGTATGCTGGCACAGGCTTGTGGATGTGAATATTTGGACGACTTCAGCCCTAAAATGCAGTCACAGAGACAGGCTCATTTTCTGGTTGTTTTGGAAAACCTTTCTATCTTCTGGTCTTTGTTATTTGGAAGACGAAAAAAAAAAAAAAAAATCCAGGTTGAATAAAACTAATTTTAATTCTGTGGATCCAAAATAGAAAATTATTCACAAGGTAGTCTGGTTTGTTATGCGATAAAAAGGAGATATATTTCCTGTCCACAACAGCAACCGGGGCGCACAGGCGGCGCACAAACATACGAGCCACAGATAGCGGATATTTTCACACACATCAGAGCACACAGGCTCTCAGCATCCATGCCCTGACCATAGGGAGTTTGTGCTGAGCTGGTTTGGACGTCAGGATGAATCAATGTGAGGACAGCTGACTGGACATGGCTATTCATCTGCCAAAGAAAAGAGAGAGAAAAAAAGCAGAGTGAGGGATTCTAAAAGAAATGAGCAGAGCCCTGAAGCAACACGTTTGGCTGTGTGCATTACTTTTTCTATCCTTTAAAGAATGTTGAATGTTTATGGGATGGAAGATTTTATAAATGTCGGCGGTGGTGACGAAGACATAAGTTCCTAATGTTATACTGCCAAGGTGCCTAACTCTATACCGATGGCCCGTTTATACCCATCTGTTGCCATCAGCCCTCTGACTTTATCCCTATTGTGTTAACTCATTACATTCGCCTTAACAATAAATCCTTAATTGCCACCCTCCAGTTTCTCCCGGGGCCCCCTCACCCCCTTATAGACAGTGTGCCACATTGCATGTGCACTAATCTGGTTGCGTCTGCCCACAAAACACCTGCCATATCCAAAAAGACCCTCCGAAGCCCTGCATACACCCATACAGGCATGAGGAGAGGTTCAGTGTAGATGACAGCATGTAATGCAGGCAGATGCGCTCGTGGAGACAGATAATAGAACAGCCCCATGCTTTGAAAATTACAAATGCATACCTTGTTTTTCTCACGTTTGTGAACTAAAACGGGAGTTGGATTTTGTCCTGTCTATTTGCTCAGACATGTATTGGAAAAGAGTGACGTAGAGGCCCAGGCCTCTTTCGTTTAACAATAACTCCCTCGACCCCCTAATGAGGACTAGAAGGCCAGACGTAAGGCGATGTGACAGTTCTGGTGCTGCCAACACAATAGCAAGTTTCTCTTTTGACTGCCTGGTTGGCTACGTATATAACACCTAAAAAGTCTAAATAAGGCTTGCATAGAACACAAGTTTAATCATGCCTATGAAAAGTGAAGTTTTCTTGCAAAGTATAATCACTTTGTTGTTCTGCTGATCTCTGATTGAGGTTTAAGGCATCATTGGTTTTGTTTTTTAGCTGTATTTCTTTGCAATAAAGGTGTTTCATGAAAAATAAACACAAATTGTTAACTTAGGTCTTCATAAGCAAGTTACTGTCTCACAATAATTACTCTTGAACCAATGCTCTGTCACTGCCTGTGCCAGTCTGTGAGCCTCTGAAATGAAGTTTGTAATAGCGGTTTATTGATTGGGAATTAGAGTGGATGGCCCCTAAGGGTTCATCCTGGTTGGGCCAGGAATGAATACATCTCTTCATGCTTCACCTCACACACTCAATTTAGGCACAGGAAACCAAAGGACTGACAGACATGCATGTTGAGACACTGACCCGCACTCTAATATATACAGACAGGCAACGTCCTTTTATTTCGTGACAAAAGCACTGTTCAGAAATCTGTGGGATGCGGACGATAGCTTTTGTTACTTCAAGTGTGTATATCTATAAAAATGTCCTATGTTTATTGGGAAAATATTTGATTTCAAGACTCTTGCTGGAAACATGATATAGAAATCATTTAGGGCCAACCTTCTTTTTCTGGACAATTTCTTTACATTTCAAAGTGTACTTACACTTCTACACAATGTCAGGCATCCTAGCTTCTAAAGAGAGATTCCTGTTGTTTGCATTAAAGATGTTAGATTCCTTTCAAATGTCTAAAAATACTGTAGAGGCAAAGCTTGAATGCCTCCATACATTGCTTATCTAACAGGGTCACCGGTGTCTCTCTCCATCACTCTTTGGTTAAAAGGAGGGCCACAACCTGAACAGAGCAGATGTCCATAGTGGGCAACACGTAAACAAACAACCATCCACACACACTTGAAGGGGAACACCGTTTTTTTTTTTTTTTTTTACATTGGGCCCTTTATTTTACATTATTACATCATGTTCTACTCACCCATAAAGATATTCTGTTTGGTTATATCCAAGTAACGTCTTCCTATGGACAAACAACTTAAAGGCACAAACTAAACTGTTCATAATTTATCACTTATGGTACGCCAGCATTCTTAACATATAGGCGAATCACTGTCCCCCAGACATCCGCGGTTATATTTTTTATATTTATATCTTTTAAAAACAAAGTGGCGCGTGTATGACGTCATCAGCACGCGCCGGCTACCGTTCATTCTTCCTGTGCGCTGAACTGCTGCTAGTTTTACTCACATGCCTGAAAGATGTCTAGTGCTACTACCACAGATGATCTCGCTCTCGATATGGAATTGAACGATTCAGATTAGCTAGCCAAATGAATAGAAGGTGTAGAGAGTAGCCGCCTGTGACCCGGGCTACCTGTCACAACTCCAGTCTGGCGCGCAGATGATGTCATACACACGCCGCTTTGTTTTTAAAAGATATAAATATAAAAAATATAACTGCGGATGGCTGAAGGACAGTGATTGACCTTCATGTTATGAATGCTGGCGTACCAGGCAGAATAAATTATGAACAGTTTAGTTTGTGCCTCCAACTCTTATCAACACTATATCAATGACTATTTTTTGGTGCACCTGTTTATTTTGGTAATTCCGCTCCACAGCACTAGTTCTGCTGTGCGCATACCGCTGGTAAATTGGCCCCCTTTTCGTCTCCTGCCACAACCTTCTGTTACTGTTGGTTCTTCGTTTTTAGCGTGACACGAAAATGGCAGCGGCGAGTGAGTCTGAATCAAGGATGGAGGCATCTGTTAGAACAGTGATTCCCAACAGGCGTACACATACCCTTAGTGGTCCGTGAGTGTATTGCAAGGGGTACATGAAAATATTTTATTTCTTAGGTAATAAAATAGAATAGGGCTGGGATCTGTTTTGCTTTGTGAGGACCAAATTTGCTCAGTAATCCAGCTCATACTGCTTCCAAAAAAGTAAAAAAGAAAAACAATCCACTGGACTTTGTACTTACTTCCAGGCAGCATATTTATTTATTTATTTTTTAAGATGGAAAGCATAAGATTATAAAAATCAAATCCTCAAATTAAAAGACTAAGTGAAATACCTTTTATTTTATAATGTTATTTTATGCTCCACTTTCTTACAATCATCAATTCTTTTGACTGAGAGGGGTACAAAAAAAAGCCCAAAGGGGTACGCAAGTCTAAAAAGATTGGTAAACACTGTGCAGACCAAAATTATCCAAAGTATGGGAATGCTTTCGGGCAGCTGGTGATACAGTGGTTTGTACACTCTGTAATGCTGTGTCCACTCTGGAGGCGGTGGAAGTCATAAACACGCAGATGCAGAAATCTGGAAAATGGTGACCTGCTGTTCAGAAGGCAGCAGTTACACTCACTCCTTCAAACCCACTACAGCTCTGGCTTATGTTCCCTCTAAACTCACAGCAGACACTCCCACTACCTGCAGCTCACGTCTCCCACAGAGATCCGTTATTACCGGAGAGAGAAGGGGTAAATTAAATAGTGGGTTTTAAAAGTCAGCTCTGTTTCGTAAGGAAGATTGTTAGAGACACTAAGACCTGCCTTTAAGTTGCCTCTGATTGGCTTGTTAGATTTAGGCACAGAGGACTGATGGATTGGTCCAGGATTGGCTATCTCAGTCAGTCAATCGGAGTTACTAGGCAAGCCTTATTGAATGAGGAATTATGCGTGAGAATTGTCATGTGTGGTGTGGTGCGGGAAAATGGGTCAGATTGCGTGACTGTCAACCTTGGCAGCCCTGCCTAAACATAAAGAAAGAACGACAATTTAATGATTTAGACCAAAGCATACTGGCTAAAATAGCCCAGTCAAAGTCCAAAGTAATATCCAAATCTGAATCTATTGCAATACTTAAACACTCCACTTATAGATTCTCATTCCCATTTGAATGACACCAAGCAATTTGAAGAAACAGCATTTTCTTCAGCCCAACAGCCAACAGCCTTGACTTAACTGTTGAAAGCTATTTTCTTATCTACTTCTAAATTATCTATTACGTTGTGCTTTCTATCACACTAAATCAGGTGACAGATATGTTTGCAAGACGCTTTACATTGGTATAATGAAAAATGTCTTTTGATGAACATCTAATATGATTAAAATTGAATAGTTGGGATCTTTTTGGACCTGCCCATCAGTGAAATTGTTAAGATGTATCATCTCAGACCTAACTTTGACTTCTTCTATTTTCAGGGAAATCTTTGGAAACTTTATATCTTCAGAGGTCATGATGGACACTAAAAGGATAACCTTTTGCAGAATCATGGTGCCTGCTCAGTGAATTTAAGGAGTTTTGGACCATAACCTTGGATATTTATCAGAGTAGCCACACATCTGTTAACCTGTGAGATTTCACAAAAAGTAATGGAGACAGAGGAGAAAGAGGAGGCATCACAAAAGCAAACTGCTGTTTTAAAAGAGCTAGAGGAAGATGCAGCATTGTGCCATACATGCGGGGTTTGTGGTCGTAGCTTCCCCCTGCTCAGCTCTCTGTCTCAGCACATGAGAAGGCACACACGGGAAAAGCCATACAAATGTCCCTACTGTGAGCACCGGACAGCTCAGAAAGGCAGTCTAAAGGCTCATATCCGAAGCCATAAACTGGGCCTACTCAGCAAGGACCCAGGAGAAAAGGAGGTAGAGGAAGAGCAAGGACAGAAAGATGAGCCTGACATGCTTCACCTCCCCAAAGTCATCAGCACATCTGACAAAGCTTATCATGTCAATGGAAAGGTGAAGAAAACAGTAACTAAGAAAAAGGTTAAAAGTAAAAGTGGTTTAGAGATTGGGGATGGGCCTTTCTCCTGCATCATTTGCGGCGAGGTTTTCCAGCAGGTGTTGCTGCTTAAATCCCACATGAAACAACAACATGGTGCTCAGGATCACGGGTGCCGCATTTGTGGACGACGCTTCCGCCAAGCATGGTTCCTCCAAAGCCACATGCGCATCCACCGGGTCAAAGCACAGCTCCAAGGTGGTAAGAGCATCGAGCAGCCTGCCACAATCAACGGAATTCCTCAAGACCCTGCAACACTGGTGAATGAAGAGTGCCTTTATGAGCTCTGTGCCGGCTGCGGGAACTTCTTCTATGACCGCAACACTTTGCGTATTCATGAAAAGCTGCACAAACTGAACCAAAATCCCAAAAATGAAGAAACGAGGCCTTCTGAATTGCAAGTTGATCAGAAGCAATTTTTTAAAGTTCTGAATCTCAAAAGTAAAGACCCTGAGGAAACACCCGAGGAAAATATTCAGGGTAGGAGAATTCCAGAGCTAGATCCAGTTTGTAGTTATCAAGCATGGCAGTTAGCCACAAGAGGACGAATAGTGGAGACTACAGAGAAATGTCTAGGCTGGGAGGAGAGGCTGGCTGATGCAGAGGTGGCATATGACACAGAGAAAGGAGAATATGTGCCCCTCAAGCATGAAAAGAAGAGGAAACAAACAGACAACTCCAGTTCTAGTGTCAAAAAGAAGAAGGGTGACACAGGCCAGGATCACACACCCAACTCCCTGAGTCATGCTAAAGGTAGAGACAAAAAGATTTTCCAAAAGGACCGTATCATTTTGAATGGACTAGGTCACGCATTTTACGAGGCTCTGCAGACAAGGAAGGTCAGAGAAAACACCAAGCCAAGTAACAACATCAGAAGCCAAGAGCAGGAAGGTGAGCCTAGAAAACAGTGTTGTTCTTCAATAAATGAAATAGGTTTATCAGGTTAAATGTGCAATTAGGAGCTGTTCTTAGAAGCATTATCTTTAATGACTGCTATACCCATTATGGTAAAGTGTCAAGACTCTATCAAACGTGGTGTGCTCTTATTTACTAAGGGGGTAGAGGGAGCCCTCTAGTGAATTTTTATCTGAACTACATCCTATTTTGTATATGGGGTAATGGTGCATGTATTGTGAGTATTTCTTTTTTGGAAAGAATGGTAGCATAAAAGCTACTGCAATGTTATTAACAGGCTTCTGGTAATATTTTAGGAGGATGTTTCTTACCAGAAAAAGGACTCTTATTAACTTCATTTTTCACCAGTCCAAAGTTTATACACATCTTTGCTATTCAGTGGGTTTTCCTTATTATTTTATTTCCTATATAATCACTTAAAATGGTTTTATTGAATGTGTTACCAGGTAGTAATACTGTAGACAGCCCAGTGAATGAAAAGACATTGTTAAACTTTTGAATCTGGTGTATATTTAAAAGACCCCTAACTGTTCCAGTTTTTTTTGTTCTTGCAGATAAACAATCCTCCACTTGTGAGTACTGTAATTTCCACACTGCTGACTCCTCTCAACTCAGGTCCCACATGTACAGCCATCATCTGGGTCCCTACGGCAAACAAAACGTCAAAATGGGCAACATCAACAAAGGTGGTTCTTCGAGATATATGGACTACCTCCGGAGCAGGAGCTTGTTGCTCAGTCAGCCATACTGGAATAACTACACGTATCCAACAGATCAGGAGTATGCAGATGGAAATATAAAGGTGGAAAAGGTCAATGAGATTGAGGTGAAGGAGGAGGTATATGCTGCTGGTGAAAATGGGAGTCTTCTCAATCTTTCTTCACCCTCTGTTACCGGCGAAAATGCTGATCCTCCAGTGAAGACAGAAGGTCTAGTGCAACATCAGTGTCTCTACTGCTCCCACACTAGCAATTATCCAGAAGTCCTGTGGATTCATCAGCGGGTCACCCACAGGGTGGATGGCAGCAGCTCTGTAGCACCCAAGTGGGCACCCTGTATAAGCATTTTGAAGAGTTTGAAAGCAGGGGCTTCTCAGTGGAGACGCACAGGACCACCACCGTTCCTGGAAGGCAAGGATTGCCCAGCTCTACCCGCCCCGCGGACTCCGCGCACACAGCCTCCAGGTTTTGTCACTCAAAGCGGCACCAGCAAGCTCTCTGCTCCAAAGACCCAATCAAGCATCCCAAGGCCAAAGCATCGACCCAAAGACTCACATTCCTCAGATGCGACACATTCTCGTGGGAAGGTAGTTTCCCAACCTCAAAGGAAGTCTGCCGAACTAAAACGAGTAGTAGATGGTGCAAGTAAAGCCTCAAGTGCCCAGTCTACACCCATTAACACTTCTGTTAGTTCAAAGAGTCTATCAGGCTTCCAGCCTTCAAGCAGTCCCAAACACAGAGGCAACCGAGCATCTGTGGAGGGCGTGTTCCCACAGGAGGGTTTGGGTTTCATGTTAGCTAGAAATCATGGTGGGACTTCTTCTAATGAAGCAGCAGCAGACAGACCCCACCCCCGAAGGCAGTCACAGGACTTTTCTTCTGGTGTTAAGGGTCCCGATCTTTGGGCAGCCATAAGCATGTGGGGGCTACATGGTGGGAAAGCATATTTTGATTCACACCTATTTGCTCAGGGAAAAAGTGACTCTACAGAAGATACCCCAAAAGAGATGGACCTTTTAGGTCTCTTGAAGAGCTACGGTCCCCATGAGCTAGCAGCTTTTTACCAGCACTGGGGATATGTCGATCCAAGACTGGATCCACAAGGTAAAGAGCTAGTTTTCTTAGCTATAATAAAAAGCTGTGATTTATGTGAAATTTTAGAGTGCTGTATAAGAGCATTTTATCACTGATATTGTTGCATTAACAAATTTCAGTGTATTTTATTGGAATTTCTACAAATGATACACCCGTTTGAGACTGAAAGAATTTATGGATGATTTCAAAATTTAAAAATTTGAGCAGAGTGGTTTGATAATTATGTGGCAGAGTCCTTCGTAAAACCAGTTCTCTGCTATGAAGTATACCTGCCGTAGCTTTTCACATAAAGGCTAACGATGTTAGCCGTTCTTTGGAATACAGCTCAAACTCACATAGGTTGGATGATGACCCTCTACAAGCACCAAATTCCTGCTGTAGATTAGGTCTGAACTGGCGGACTGGATCATAGAAGTATGTTGATATTAATTAATTAATTTAAGCTTTTCAATTTTATATCTCTTCCTGAATGTGGACTTCCAACGGACTTTTCCAACGTTTTTTCCTCAAGGAAAACGCATTTCCATAGCATTTTAGTGCAGGCTGCTGCCCCATGAAAAGCACTTACCCTTATTCTCAATTCTTGTGCCTGGAGTGCTAAATGATTAAATATCACTTAAAATAACACTTCTTCTTATAGTAAACAACTCTTATATAAGACATAAATTTAAGCATGATTTTATTTAGTTTTGACAGAGAAATGATTTACAGATATCAGCTGATGCCACAATAATACCATCATGGGGAAAAGGAATAGAACAAGAGCCTCGAATGAGGGTTACATCAGTTTCTTATAGATCAACAGGAAGACTCCCTGAGCGAGCATTACACATCAGTCACCTGTTGTCTGTAGCAGTTGTGGCATCACTGGGAGTTATCTGTCAGACTGGGAAACCACGTAGACTCAAAGGTTTATCCACATATACTTGCTGCCCCGAGATAACTTACAGCTTGTTAATGTGTGCCACATCATCATCTTGGAATTATCCGTTAAAGGAACTATAACTGCTTTCAGCTGCTATAGCAATCTACAGTTTCACATTGGAAAAAAATCGCAAAAGAAATGGTTTTCTTTAGATAAAAAAACAACAACTTCATTCTCATGAAAAAAAGCAATAGTTCAAATCTATTTGATTCATTGCTGCATAAAAAACAGAATAGAATTTAATCAACTTTATAATTCTTTATTAAAATATTTCCAAGCGTGTTAATTGACTTGATACAACATTTGTTGTGAAATGATGATGTATAATTAACTAAATTTAACTGATTTGATCTGTAAGGAATTTTAATATATAGAACCTCTTTTTTTCCCACTTCTCAAACAAACAGAAACAGTTTTGTTATTTAAGGTTGTTCTTGTTTTACAGCAACTCTGCAGTTGAATGGAAGCTTTGGAAATGAAGTTCATTCTTCCTCTGAGACCTCCAAACAGGTATGCTTTCTATAGACTGTCCAAACATCTTGTGTGATTACATTTAAAATTAAACCTAGTAAAAAAAAAATCCTAATTCCTAAAGTAAATCTGAAATCAATATTCAGAACAAAAAAGAATCAAATAGAATAAATCTTGTTATTCCATATAGATACATTTGGTTGGATGTTTCCGTAATTTAATAACGCTCTTACATGAGGTGCTATGATACACTGATATTAATAAGATTCAACTTCTGAGTTTAGTCTGATGACAAAATAGCATGTCATGTAGAACTGTAAGCCGGTCAGAAATCTCTTGGACCACATTTAGAAACTGTTATTACTGGAAAAATACACTCGCTTTTTTCTGTAAAAAGAATTTGTCATGACTCTGCAGTTTTTGGTTCTGTTTAAGTTTTCTTTTTTGTGTTTTCAAATATACTTTGATTTGTGTCTTTCTGTGTTTTCTAGTTTATTTGTTTCATTTCCATTTCATGTTATTCTAGTTATTTTTTCTTGTATTTGAATTCTTAGGTATTTTCTGCACTCTGCTGCCCTCTTGTGTCAGTCTTTTTTTCCTTAACTCCCTTTTAGACTCCTCTGTCCACACCTGCTCCCAATCTGCTGATAAGCCTGGTCTTTGTTCAGTCTCCCATTTATACACCTCATGTTCAGTCACTGTTTGCTGGTCCCTTGTTGTTGTTTTGTTGCTCTGTCGTTTGACAGAACTGTCCTGTTAAAAAAAGACAGATGAGCACCACTGGATCGGTCTTAATCTGGGGCAAGGATTCTCCAATAAAATCGTTATTAGATTAACAAATCACCCCAGAAAGACTGGAACAGTTCTAGTGGTTTTCATCAAGAACTTAAGCTTACATATTTGTGCATTGATACAGTGTGAACTGTTTATATGTTTCAATAATAATATCATGCAAATTAAAGTTGCTTCTTGCTAAATTTGCTAAATCCATCCATGCAAGCTTTTCTTTTAATTGAACATAATAAGTCTTGACTTTCTCTCATCAGGCAGAACTTTTCAGTGGTATTTATTTTTTGAATATTTGCTTGTAATGTCTGAGGAAGTAACTGATTTTTTTTTATAGCCCAATTCTGTTGCCTGCTTATCCTTTTGTTTTCCCTTCTTTGTTCTTCATACTGTAATTATTACCAGCATTTCTGTCACCCAGGGTAAACACTTTGTGCTTTGAATATTACACTGGTAGTGAAAATGGGAGTCTTCTCAATCAAAAGTTATTAAAAGTTATTAAGATCAACTTAATCCATATTTTAAAAATTAACTTTTATAAGGTTTACAATTAAAAATAACACATTCTAACATTTTTAACATTTACCCACTCTTTGCGTTAAGGGAACCACACAGATATCCTTTATTTCCTCACGCATGTCTCTAGCAGCATGGTGTGCCTGCTCTCCTGTCTGTACCTCATCTCTGTCCGAGTGCAGCCTGTCATCCCCGTGCACACGCGTGTCTGCAGACGCACTTCTGTCTGCGTGCGTAGCTGTCAGCTCCTGCAACCTGGCTGCCTCTTTCCTTCACCATGGCTGACAGGGACGAGGCAAACAAATAATAAAAAGACATCGTTGGTCCCCCCTCGGGGTAAAACTCACCCGGCGTCTCCATATGTTGTGTCAGTTAGCTCTGTCACTCAGGCCTACCATTGTGGCACCTACAACTGCTTCCTTTCTTCTCTTCTCCCTCCTTAAAATCGCTTTGTCTTAAACTTTTTAGTCCTCTTCAGCTTGAAGAAGGAAACATTATCAAACTACCCCGCCTGAACAAGACCAAATTGGTTAGGTTTCATTTTGATTAGAAAGGAAATAATAAATAAATTCTCTTATCTCTTTCTGTGTAGGGTCTGAAAGAAGGATTTGTCTCCTTACAGATCTCTACAGATTTAGATTTTTTGTCAAATGCTTTAGCTCATCAAACTTTAATATCACACAAAGATATACTGAACAAAGACAAAATGTAGTTTTTAAACAATGATTTAATTTATCAGGGAGAAAAGTTGACCTCATGTGTCAAAGTAATAACTCCTTTAACCTGATACATGACTGGACATTGATGGTAGTGTTGGCAGCAGCTCCAAATAAGGTTTTTGACAATTGGCAATTCAACTTTTTTTTATCATCATAGGAGATGTTTGGGTTCCATTCCTCTTTGAGAAACATACATGAAAAGCATGTTAATGTTAGTTAACAGGCTTTCAATCTAATTTATATCCAAACTCTGACTAGGCCCCCCCCTTGCCTTCTTTTTGGATATTGAGCCACATAGAGGTGGACATCCTGCTGTGCTTTGCAACATTTGGATCATATTCCTGCTGAAGTTCCCCCTGATCTTAATGTCAATAATAACCAGACACTTGCTTCAGGATTTGTTGGTAGAGAGCAGAATTTATTTCCATCAGTCAAATTGGTTATGCAGGTCCTCAAGCAGCAGATATGCCGTTTCCAAAAGTCATCAACATAGCCATAGTTTTTGTTATATGACTCTGGCCAATGTAATTTAACATCAAGTTTGTCATTTACTGTTAAATCTTTAGCCCTAATTTTATTAGATAGATTCCAATTATGTCTAGATGATGCTCTGGGTTTATTCCTTACCTCCTCCAGCATCTTTGTTGATGAACTCATGGAATAATTAGACTGGCTAATTCCGGGAAAGTTCTCTACTGTTCCATGTTTTCTACACATGTGAACGATGGGTCTTGTTGAAGTTCCAAAAGCCTTAGAAATCACTTTCTTTGAACAGAGGCCTGATAGATATGAGTCGCCTTGTTTCTCATCTGTTCTTAAATAGTTTGTGTTTTATGTCTATTAGCCTACTTCATGTTGCAATACAGGTTCTGTTTAAGTAATTTATTGGTTGTATTTTTTAGGCCTGAATGTGGCTTGTGAAATTAAGCCATTTATTATCTAGAAAAAGAAGGGTCATTATGTTTTTCACCTAGAGCCAGGATGGCTTTGATTCCTTTTTTTTTAAACCTTGATTAATGAAATCATCACGTAAGGAGTGCTCATCAATTATATTTCCTGTGGTGCCAGATTTTTTTGTCTTAGTCCTAACTTAGTAAAGCCTTCTTCTTGGCCAGCTGCTGTGACTCATACGGCTGTTTTCCACCATCAGACTGATAGAGGAGAGTGGACATACTCAAGCCTTTTTGTCGATCACCATGGAGACACTTCTTTGTTGAAACATGTTACAGCTGTTATTCTAAAGACTGACCATACTTAGATGGGTTTTTAGACAAAAAGGTTTTCAATATAGACTTTTAACTTCCAGGTTTAGCATCCCTGAAAAAATTTGGTAAAACTGCACTGTTGCAAAATAAAACAGTCCCTCTCTGTATTTTGGAATTTAATGATAGGCCAGAAGGCCGAGATGTCATTGAGTTATATGTAAAGACAAGGCAACATTCAAATTAAATCCTACAGGGGAGCTCAGACTACAGTAAAGCCATGCTCTCGGTCACATGACTCCTTCTGCGTTGGATCCAACCCTCTCACTTTATATAGGACAGTGTTTTTTAGAAGGGCAGCTTACATACAGTATTGACATGCACCGAGTGCTGTACATTGACCTAAAATAATATTTATTATTTATTTATTTCTCCATTTAAGCTAATAGTTTGTTCAAAACATGTACAGTGTTGCTCTAACTGAGGAGACTTTTTCTATGGGATTATCCACCATCGTTTTGACTATTATTGTCTGCTGTAGAAAGTGGTTCAGTTATTTGGTACAGTTGCCAAGAATTGTTGTCATGTAAGTGTGGTACGTCTTCAATTTCATTTTTAATTCAGGTTAAATGTATTCAATTAAAATATACCTAATCAAAAATTATAAGAAAATATGTGCTAAAAGGCAACTTAAGTACTCAGTAACTGTAAATCTTATATCTGATTTATGAAAGCTGTGGAATATCGTCCTTTGCACAAATCTTTTTTTTTTTTTTAAGGAATTGAATAAAAAGATCATTAAAAAAAAAATCAGTGCCATTACAAAATAAAAAGTTGAGGAAGAAGAATAATTTCCAATTTTTCTAGAAAATAAAGCTTGAGATTACGTTTTAGACTGTCCTGTCTAAACTTACCTATACTTACAGGTGGTCAAATATTTATCTTTGAACAAGACAAAATAGATAAGTACAATATTTTCCTATGTAGTGCCTCACTTTGATTTTGCTGTATTGTTATAAAAATGACTTCTGTATTTTTGGGGAACCTCAAACACTTTTACTGTCATAGTTTAATACAATTCCTATTCAAACACACAGATGTGGGATGTAAACTCTGAGTTTTATGTTTGTCTTCTGCAGAAGAGCAACCGCTCCACTCCATCTTCAGGATCTCTGCATAAAGGAACATGAGATGTTGGACCCGGCTGCCAAAATCCTACCAGCAGAATAGAAACACTTTTTGTTCTTGGAAGCAAGCAGCCATCGCTCCACAAAAACAATCAATGCAGGGAAAAAGCACAATATATTCAAAGCAATGAGTTTAACTCATTTAGCATCAAAATGATTTGGTTTGATTTGTTCTGCATGTTTTCTTGACTTGATAATTAGCTTATGCAGCACAAATTAATAAATTGTTTGCAAACTCTATAAATGACGCTCCTGTAGCTACATAGGAAGTGTCTTTAGTTGTAGTCACTTTGTAAAATGGATCCATCAAATAGCAGAAAAGGCTTACAAACCTAAAGAGCTTTGGGAAACCCACAATCTGCAAAATGAAATAAGCTGTATATCAATGTCATGTTTCAGTTGTTTTTTGTCTTTTGTAAATGTTTTTGTTTTCACATTTTTCTTTGGTAAGTTTGTCATTGTTAATGTTCAGAAATAATCCTAACAATCAGACATGATTTGAGTTTGAGCCCAAATTCAACCAAAACACTCTGACCTCAGATCAGGGATGTGGTGCCAGTTTATGTGTCGCTTTTCTAGGAAGTCTGGTCATGGTACTGTCTGGTTTCTGTTAGAAATTTAATGTACACATTTGAACTGATTCTTAGTTACAGTTTAGTTAGACACTGGGTTTTCTTATTTGTTGATTGAAAGCAGACTGCTGTTAAACAATTTGTTTTTGTAATATTAGTTTACAGCCTCAGACAGCTGCACTGAGGCTCAGTGGGCAGAGCTTTTTTAGACCCTGGCTCTTCAGATAACACCCATGACCTGCTATATTAGCATGCCCTGTTTTATAAACTCAGATTTCAAATATTAATGCAGTATCTGCCTGTGTGTTTCAGTTAGATTGATTCAGTGAGCATTTTGTCGTCTTTCACACTCTGTATGCAAAGTAGCAACTTGAATGCTGTGATTTTCTTTTAGAAGTAAAAAGGTAGGGATAACCGTTTGTACTGATGTGACTCTTAAATAATCCCTGGTAGTTGAGCTACTAAAAAAAAGTATTTTTTTTTTTGTTTTTCATTGTGTTCACTTTCCTTTTGATTTGTTCTCTGTGTGCAGGCTTCTTTTAGTTCGTTCACATTCTAATGCATTTTTTCTCCCATAGATATAATGTCTATGCATTTGACATAAAGCCATAAGCATATGATTGTTAGGAGATCCAAAGAGCACAGAGCCATGGAATCCAGTGTTAAATAAATAGCTTTCTTTGTTAATTAATAATGTAAATTGTGTTTTATTTCAGGGGCTTGTTTAGGGGCCTGTTGTCTAAAAGTGAACTTTAAGAACCCATAGATGTTTGATATTTGTTGAGAGAAAAGTAAAAAAAATAAAATAAACTGGAAAAGTTGAGCTACTGTTTTTCATATTACTTAAAAAAATTTGTGAACATCAAACTTTTAAGTTGAGCTCTAAGTAGATACATTTTTGTGACTCAAAATATGTTCCGCAATTTCTAATTGTGTTGGTTTTAGAAGTTATATTTTTAACAGCTCCAGTGTGTTTGTACATTTATTTGAATAAAGTTAATTAATGTTGATTTATACAAAAAAAGTTTCTGCTGCCTTTTGTTATAAAAGTGTGACCTTCTATGCACATTTTTCATACAAGGTCATAGCATCTCTGGATTAAAGATATCTATATGTTTTATGTTAAAACTAAATTTTAGTTTTATTTTTTTTTATTTTTGTGACCAGTAAAAAACCCACTTGAAATATATTGTTCTGTGTGCAATGTATCTTTATAAATTTTAAGTTTAATTTTTGATTAATTAATGAATGGATAAACCAAAAATGCAAAAACCTTTTAAATAAATTAACATTTATGAATAATGTATTTATTTAGTTTAACATTTTATAATTGTGTTGGTTTTAGAAATTATATTTATTTGTTAGATCCAGTGTTTTTAAATCGAAATCATAAGGAAGGCAGATTATGGATTATACAAGAATATTACTTCCAAATGCCATCGTCTATTCTTATGTCTGAAGTTTATTAGCTAAAAATTTTTAATAACTGCAAAATTTTATATGCATGAAAATGAAAATTTGAATTGGGTAAAGAATGAATATTTGATATTAAACATTTTCCGAAACTCTTGAACAGGTAGTTAATAAGAGATGATTTAACTGAAACATTACAGCTTAGTTTTATATCAGATCATTTCCCCCTTTAACTACCTGGAAATACACTTTGAGGACAATTTTAATTATTTAAGCAATCTGAAAACTTATTTCACTTAGACAGATTTTTCCGATTAAAACAGTGTAGTTAGTATAAAATGTTGACAAAAAGTAATGTGAACGGTGTTGAGTAATTTGGAAATACTTTTCAAAACGTCATTATCTGACAAGATTAATGAATGATAAGTTTAACTCATATTTTACCTATCAGTAGGTTTTACACTGGTCATTTGATGATAACCTTTCCTTTTTAAACATACCAGCTCTAAATAGTGGTTTGAATACATGATTTACAGTATTAAGAAATTATCGCACTTTTATCCATTTTAACATTCGTTACGACTAAAAGAGCAGTTGTTTATAACAAATATAATGTTAACCAAAAGAAAAAGCTCATAAGAGGTGAATTTTAAAGCTAATATCTACCCACTTGTCTTGATAAGGACCAAATTAAGTTAAGTACTTTAATTAAAAAGCTATGGAAAAGAGCTTTTAGCCTTTGATCAACATAGGAATTAAAACTTTATTGCAAAACCTTGTTTTTTTGTTTAACTTATTCTGTTATTTTTATACCCTTTTTTTGTGTGACCACTTTTGCTGTAATGCTTTTGCCTCTTAAACACCATAATGTCCCCATTGTGGGACAATAAAAGGATTTTCTATTCTATTTTTGATTAAAAAAATGTACGGTAGTCCATAACTTTTTAATGACTGAGAAAAAAAGGAGAAGAAAAATAGTAATAGTAACATCTAAAATATAAATTATAAATTTATCCCAGCAAGAGAAAAAAATACCAGAACTGTTGCCTATTATGTCATTTCTAGTTTAGAATTACACAACATTTAACGGAAAAAGTTTAACATTTCGTTTATTTGGTTTATTATATTCTTGTATGCCCTATATTGTCTGAGATAAAATGATCTAAGAGATAAAAAAATTATGGCAGTAGTGATTAAACGGTTCATTCTATCAGTTTTTCTTCCACCAGCAGATGGCAGGCTGCTTCAACAAACCAAGAAGCTTGTAATTTTACATTCCACTCTATTTTAGATCTCAGCATTTTTTATTACCCTTTTTTATCATTTCTAACTCGGTGATGTGTCTCACCTTAAACATAACCTATGACCAAAGCACTGTTTTCACTGCAGATTTGATAAATTAAAGCTTCACCTTCAACTTTAGGCCTTTAACTTCAGCAAAATCAATACCAAGTCAATAGTAACCCCACTGCAATTATACCAAAGTGTTCTTTTTTTGCAATTATTTCTTCGACTGAGATCACCTGTAGTCACATTTACTATTAAGCAGGTTTATGGGACATGATCACATCCATGACTCACATCTGAGTGTGTCTCCAAGCACATTGGTGAGCCCACATGTCCCTGTCACAATGCATTTGCCAGCAAGTTGTGCTGTATCAGCGGTGCAGTGACAGCATCAGTTATCCTGCCTGCGAGACATCACGGATTTTGTTCGCCGTGCCACCAGCAAGAGGGCTGAGAGTCGGTGCTGGTCACAGGGTCTCGGAGTAGATAATGTCGGGCGACTTGTAGTGAGTAGAGATGCTGTGGCATATGCTGTCTGACAGGGAAATGTCGCCAAGCAGAGCAGGGTGATGTTCTGGTGGCCGATTGGACTGACAGCTGTCTCATTGCATCCCCTGTATTTTTATTTCTGTATGAATGAGAGACTTAGTTTAAGATTCAGTGTTTTTTGTTGTTTTTTTCATATTGGAAGTTGTTTAGTTTTTGGAGTTCAGGGGTCAGACAAGGCTGGATATTATTTTGTTAATAATTCTGTGGGTAACTTTTTTCCAATCTGTCTCCACAGACATTTAAAATGTGCTTTAAACTGATATGAACTGTCTCAGGTTAAGGTCTTTCAACCTTCCTAAAACATTAATTGACAGACTTGACTAATAACTGCAAATCCTACATTGTAAACCCCTGACTATTGAGGCAATCAAATTCGCACAAATAACAACAAAGATACAACTGTGGCTGCTCATCTTTTTTACAGTAAAATGTAGTATTTCTATATCTGAGAAGTGACATATAAATTAAAAAAAGGGGGAAAAAGGTGACCAAATCACTTTCTTACACCTAAATACCAGGGCTCCATGGCTTTTGGGGGAAAAAAGAAAACAGTCCTTTTGGCTTTCCTTTCACAGTGGCTTTCTTCTTGCCAGTATTGCTTGAAGGCCAGATTTGTTGACTAGAAAACAATTTTCCCCCCCCTCAACAGACTGTCTAAATCGAACTTTGGATCTCTGCAGTTCCTGCTCTTATTAATCACTTCCTTACTTGTGCAATTTCATTTTAAAATAAATTTAGCAGAGCTTTCTAAGATATTCAGAGGTTAAGATATCATATAACCTAACCCAGGTTTAAACATCTCTAACATTTTAACCTGACCTGCTGTGTTCCATGGACTATTTTATGATCTTTACTAATGTTCTCCAAAAAATGTTACACGAAAGATGGATTTATACTGAGATTAAAATACACATTTAATAACAACTGGTTAAATAAGGTTTTATGTTGGGGGTTTCAAAGCAATTTAATTTTGCACATTTGAATTTTCAATTGTGAAAGGATTCAAAGGCATGCACTATTTCTATTCCACTACCTGATTTTTTGTTTTCATTTGTGTTGCTCCAGTGTATACATTCCTTTTACAAAGCACCATAAATAAATTCAAAGCATCAAAAAGAGAAGTCTTCTGATGCAACACAATATTTTTTAAAACATAATTTTATTAGTTTATATACATGTCAAATGTTTTTATTAAGTTTA